AGCAGATTGGGTTGAAGTTTTGGGTAGGGTAAGTAATAGTCATGGTAAAATTCGGGTCAGGTCAATAACAAGTCGGGTTGAATTTAGATTAGGTCAATAACAAGTCGGGTTGATTTCGGGTCGGGTTTGTAACAGGTTGGGTTAAATTCGAGTCAGGTTAGGAACGAGTCGGGTTGAATTCATGTCAAGTTAGTGACAGGGTAAAGTCGTATCCCCTAATCAAAAATAATTCCTAAGTCCTCTAACTAAAGTAGTTAGGGAAGTAGGGTCGATCTCCACAGGGAAACAAGTCTTTTTACTTCTAATTAATTATTATAATCTAAATTATCCAAGTAACCAATATTTATAATTGAGTATGAAACTAAACTACAAAGAATAGGGATAGGGAGAAAACAATATATAAAAGGATCTAGGGCATAGGTTCACCAATAAATAATACTTCAGGGTAAAACATAGTAATCAATCATTGACATTGCATAAATAATATAATTAACAGGCTCTCGCAATTTATTAATTAACATAGATCTAACAGGCTCTCGCAATTTACTAGATCTAAGTTCTTATTGAAAATAGCCTTTAATATCAAATTAACATCTGCTCGATTCATCAATTTAATATTGCTATACTTTTACAAGCCCCAATTGTAAAACATTAAAACAATCCAATAAGAAATTATCATGCAATACCAATAATCAATAATAGTCAATCATCAATGCATCAATTAACCAGATTTTAAAGGGCTTTTGCTACGTATTACAATCACACAATTAATTTACCGGTATTAAATCTCATCTCTCGATTCTCGACTTAACCATTTATAAATTAATCTGCCTATTGAAACTAGACCTAAACATTAATTCTCATCTCTCGAATCTTGAATCAATATTGTCAAACTCATGTATAAAAGATAGGCCTAATCTAGTCACAGAGCATTAAATCAATCAATAAGAAATTAATCTAGCATTGATAATTAACAACAACAATTTACCCCTTCATATTATTTATGGATCCCCATAAACCCTAGAAATAAAACTACTCACACATATTAAAAACTAAACTAATCAAAGTAATTAAATAAAGCATAATTAAAAGCCATAAGAAATATAATTAGATAAAGAGAAAAAGCTAAACAAGTTAAGAATAAAATCTAGAAGCTAAAACTACAACTAAAACTACTTGACTCCTACGTACTAATCCTATCCCCTTTTATAAAGAAGACAAAAACAAATCCTAACCCCACTCAAATTCCTCCACAAAACCTAACAAACTATAAATATATAAGTTGCGGAAATCTTCATAGGCTGCAATTAATTGGGCTTTTAACAACGAAGCCCAGTGATGAATCAAATCAGCTCAATCTCGCAGCAACAAGCTCGCTCGATCAGGCATTGGGCCGACCGATCGGGCCCGTCAGAAATCACGCCCAGCAGCTGACTTTTCTTGGGGTTGGGCTTCTGTTTGCTTTAGGCCCAAACCTCTCTATTCACTACTTGGCTTATCTAGTAAAATATCGTGATACTTGTTTGGTTCGTACTAGTAACATTAACTTTGTAGCTTGCTTATTTAATCGAGCTCTTAATCACCAAACTAAATTTATGTAGCTCGGCCTTGGGCTTATAATACGGTCATAAAATACGATCTGACTCTAATATATTTGTAGTGGCTCAATAAGCTCAGGGATTATCGTAATTCTGCAAATTCCTACAAAATAATATCAACTCTACAAAAACACTAGAAAACGTATATTAGTAATAAAAATAACTCCGCAGAGCTTAAATTAGCACAAATATGACCATGGGACAGGGAATATAACTATATATAAAATAGACTCATCAGTTAGTAACAAGTTAGGTTAAATTTGTGTTTTGACGGGTTAAAACGGGTTTGGGTTAATTTCGGTTCAAGTCGGGTTCGGTGCAAGTTAATTAAATTGGCCGTTGTAAACCGGTAAAACAATGCAAGTTGTAAACCGATAAATTGGCCGTTTAAAAGAAAATTGAATGCTTCCACACACCCAATTGGACTCTCGGAGGTTATAAGTGACCATGGTAAAGATTTCGGTAATTTTTATTTCCGGGCGAAAAAAAGTCAAAAAATTCCAAAATATAAGGCTAATATCCACGCTTTTTGAGAAATTTTGGAGGTTTCGGGGCCCGGTGTCGAAAAGTCTTGAAATTCTATGGGATACACCTCAGGGTCATATAATGTCGTTTGGAACCATATATGATCATTATTTGTTATCATAAATGTTCGTGGTAGGCTTGAATTAATGATATCGGTGCAAGTTGTAAATCTGTAAATTAATCATTTTAAGGCAAATTGGATGGTTCCACCCACCCAATTGGATTCCCATAGAGTATTAGGCACTATGGTAAACATTTCGCCAATTTTTGTTTCCGGGCGAAAAAAAAATCAAAAAATTTCAAAATTGAAGGATAATATCCATGCTTTTTGACAAATTTTGGAGGTTTAGGGACCTGGTGTAGAAAAGTATTAACATTTGTTGGGGTTAAATAATTCCGTTTGGAACCATATATGATCATTATATGTTGTCATAAATGTTCTTAGTAGGCTTGAGTTAATGAAATCTGTGCAAGTTGTAAACCGGTAATTAAATTGGCCGTTTAAAGGCAAATTGGTTGGTTCCTTCAACACAGTTGGACTCCCGAAGGGCATTAGGGACCATGGTAAACATTTCGGAAATTTTTATTTCCGGGTGAAAAACAAAGTCAAAAAATTCCAAAATTGAAGACTAATATCCACACTTTTTGAGAAATTTTGGTGGTTTCGGGGCCCGGTGTCGAAAAGTCTTGAAATTTTAGGCGATATATCTCGGGGTCATATAATACTGTTTGGAACCATATATGATCATTATTTGTTGTTATAAATGTTCGTGGTAGGCTTGAGTTAATGAATTCGGTGCAAGTCGTAAACCGGTAAAATTGGTCGTTTAAAATAAATTGGATTGTTCCACCCACCCAATGAGACTCCCGGACGGTATTAGAGACCATGGTAAAAATTTCGGCAATTTTTATTTTCAGGCGAAAAACAAATAAAAAATTTCAAAATTGAAGGCTAATATCCACACTTTTTGAGAAATTATGGAGGATTAGGGGCCCGGTGTCGAAAAGTCTTGAAATTCTAAGTGTTACATCCCGGGGTCATTTAATGTTGTTTGGAATCATATATGAACATTATTTGTTGTCATAAATGTTCGTGGAAGGCTTGATTTAATGAAATTGGTGCAAGTTATAAACCGGTAAATATGTCGTTCAAAGAAAAATTGGATGGTTCCACCAATCCAATTGGACTCTCGGAGGGTATTTGGAACTGTGGTAAAATTTCAGCAATTTTTATTTACGGGCGAAAAAAAGTCAAAAAATTCCAAAATTGAAGGCTAATATCCACGATTTTTGAGAAATTTTGGAATTTCGGGACCCGGTGTCGAAAAGACTTGAGATTTTAGGGAATATATCTTGGGGTCATATAATGTCGTATGGAACCATTTATGATCATTATTTGTTATCATAAATGTTCGTGGTAGGCTTGAGTTAATGAAATCGGTGCAAGTTGTAAACTGGTAAATTGGCCGTTTAGAGCAAATTGGTGGTTCTACCCACCTAATTGGACTATTGGAGGGTATTAGGGACCATCTTAAATATTTCGGAAATTTTTATTTTCGGGTGAAAAAAAAGTTAAACAATTCAAAAATTGAAGGCTTATATCCACACATTTTGAGAAATTTTTTAGGTTTCGGGCCCGGTGTCGAAAAGTTTTGACATTTTAGGGGATACATCTCGGGGTCATATAATACTGTTTTAAACCATAAATTATCATTATATGTTGTCATAAATGTTCGTGGTAGGTTTGAGTTAATGAAATCGGTGCAAGTTGTAAACCGGTAAATTCGCCATTTAAAGGCAAATTGGATGGTTCCACTCATCTAATTGGAATCTTGGATCGTATTAGGGACCATGGTAAAAAAAAAATTGGTAATTTTATTTACAGGCGAAAAAAATTCTAAAAAATCCAAAGTTTAATGCTAATATCCACGTTCTTTGAGAAATTTTGGAGGTTTCGAGGCCCGTATCGAAAATTCTTGAGATTTTAGGGGATACATCTCTGGATCATGTAATGCCGTTTGGAACCATATATGATTATTATATGTTGTTATAAATGTTCATGATAGACTTGAGTTAATGAAATCGGTGAAAGTTGTAAATAGGTAAATTTGTCGTTTTAAGGCAAATTGGATATTTCCACCCACCCAATTGGACTCACGGGGGGTATTAGGGACCATGTTAAACATTTCTACAATTTTAATTTCCGCGCGAAAAAAGTTAAAAAATTCCAAAATTGAAGGCTAATATCCATGTTTTTTTAGAAATTTCGAAAGTTTCAGGGCTCGGTGTCGAAAATAAATGAGATTTTAGGGGATACATCTAGGAGTCATATAATGCAGTTTGGAACCATAAATGATTATTATATGTTGTCAAAAATATTCGTGGTAGGCTTGAGTTAATGAAATCGGTGCAAGTTGTAAACCGATAAATTGGACGTTGAAAGGCAAATCGGATGGTTCCACCCACCCAATTGGACTACCAGAGGGTATTCGTGGTAGGCTTGACTTTTTTCTTTTTTTTGTTTTTTTTTTTTTGGACCTATCACGTGTTGACACGTGTCTGGCGACTTGCTATATCAGGTTAGATAACCGGTTGGGTGCAATAGAAATTAATACCCCCTAAAGTTGGGAGTGATAGATAATAAACGAAAGTTGGGATTAATTTCGGCGGATGAGGCAAAGTTCAGATTAATGGGAGCAATTTTTCCTTAATATTTAAGGACAGAGTTTGGTCAAATTTAAAATTCAGATCAGATTAAATCAGATCAAATCAGATAAGCAAGAAAAGGTGAATCAAACAAGCCCTTAAAGTCGGTACACATATAAACTTTTTGGGTCTTGGTACACATATAAACTTGAAATGGTTAATTGTAGTCATTTTTAAAACTTGTTACTATGGAGTACTAGTAAAGCCCAAAGCCCCAAACCCAAATTTGATTTTGACAAACAATAAAAACCTCCACATTTCTCTCTTTTTCTGCGCAAATGCCTTGAATTATTTGTTTCGATCAAATTCCATGAAATTCATCTCTTTCTCCATTCTCACTCCTCACTAGCCACGCCATATTAGCTTCATCGAAGAGAGAGAATATCAAGAAAAAGCTTGAATCTACAACAATGGAGGAGGAATTGTTGAAGCGTAACACTGATTGTGTCTATTTCTTGGCCTCTCCTTTCACATGCAAGAAGGTTCATTTTTTTTATTTTATTTTTTATTTTTATTTTATTTATTTTCGTATTTTCCTTTCATTAAATTATGATTTTATTTGTCCTTTTTGTTTCTCTGATTGTGTGATTTTGATTTTTGAATTTCCCATGAAATTAATTCGTACTTGATTATTCTGTTATTTTTGAATTTTTGTTGTGTTCTGTAGGGATAGGGTTTCGGTTTACAATTTTTGATTTATGAAAATGAAGATTTTTTGTGATTTTGATCGTGCATTTTGCTTCAGTAAACGAATTAGTTGAATTTAGGGTATAATATTGTTGTTGGTGGATGTAATTGTTGTTTTTATTGGTAAATTTTGTTCTGACTGCTAGTTTTTGTTATTCATAATGTTTAATTTTGCAGATTTTCGGTGTTCTTTAGGATTAGGGTTTTTGTTAAATTCATTTGACTGAATAGGAATTGATTGCCGTTGGTAGAGATTATGGGCCTTATGGCTGTTGTCAGATGTAAATTGCTGTTTTACTGTTTGATGTATTGGGGATTCTGAAAGGTTTGCGTGCATTTACATGAACAGGGTGTAGAGTGTGAGTATCGGCATAGTGAAATGGCGAGGTTGAACCCACGGGATTGCTGGTATTGGATGTCTGGAAATTGCCTAAATCCAACTTGTGCATTTCGCCATCCGGTCAGTTTTACATAATATTGTTTTCAATTTGTTGAATTTTGATGTCTTGAGTGATTACAATGAATGCCAAATGGTATAGTGAACTGAGTAAATTGTTAATATACTTTTTTTTTTCCGAACTAGTAATACTTTATGTGGCATGGGTGCTTGTAAATTTCAGTATGTACTCTAAATTGCTGGGATTGATCTGGAATTTGCATATACAGTATACTCATCTCAACATGTATGCCTTGTTATTAAGGGTATGCCCTGTTAGAATGTACCTTATAGTATAATTGTACTTTTGTGGATCAAGTTGTGTCTAAATGCTTAATTGTGCTTCTCGAACAGTTTGGTGAAGGAAGAGTCTTTTTTTATTATTATTATTGTTATTTTTTTCATAATTTTTGTGAATGAAAGATACATACAGGTCAGGGAAGTCTTCTCTCAAGAATATTTAATGTAAGTCTAAATACATGCAAATATAGAAGTTGCGGTCGTTGTAGACGTGTAAGGCACTATAGTGTAAGTCATAATGCATGTGATAATTTTTTTTTCCATTCTTGGCCTAAAAAGGATGTGCACTAGCTTTTAGCAGGAAAAAATTATGTCTAGCTGCTTTGGGTAGTTTTTCCCTTTAAAGTTGCTGTAGTCTTGAAATTGCTCATTGGGATGAATTGGGTCATACACTCATACTCATACATAACTAGATCTTTGTTTGAACTCTAGAAATGGTGGCATATAGCCCTTAATGTAACAACTAGGTAAAAGATAATTCTACATTAGTAAGGAAAGCATTTTCAGTAGAAAATTATAAATGTTTTAATGCTTTATCAAACCATCTGCAATTGGATGGAACTATGGAAGTAACGCCCTTTGTTTGTGGTAGCAAATTTAACAGTGTTAGATTGTTTCAAAAAGTCACATAATTTCCCCTTTTGACAAATTAATGAGTTGTCTCAAGAGTGCCCAACTCTTACCTTTTGCTTGAATCCTTGCTGTTCAAAACTATTTGATCTTACCATAGGACTTATAATAGCTGGATGATGAATGTTCAAAACTATTTGATCTAATTTCTTTTGCAGATCATTGTCTGTTTTATTCTGCAGAAGAAAGAAAAATAGTTGTTAGGCTTCATTCTTCTCGTAATTGTCTTTTTTGGTTGTATCTGACATTATATGCCCGTTTGTATTGAACCTTGTAAATAGTTTCTTGTGGAACTCTTGTGGTATTCGTGTGATTTTCTTTAATTCCCTTTTTCTTTTTAGGCTCTTCTGTTGCTGAAGTAGCGCACTGGAAATTGCTTGTGTCTACAGGAGGGGGGGGGGGTGAACAGGGCTCATACCTATTTTTTTGGCTGCCCAAAACTTACTGCCTACTGGTGCCAGGAAGGGCATGCAATGATTGGATTATGAATTTTATTTTACTTTATTTTATTGTATAGAAGAATTGAATAGCTCAAAGCATGAAAGTTGGAAAGTTGAAACACGTACAATATACTTTAGCTTGGAAATCTATATGCAGTTTTTGAGGTGAAGTTTACTGATTGGTTCCCTAAGTTAATTGCACCATTATTGTGTTGGCCTTTGAATGCATCTGATCCTTTTTATTTCTATTGCCTTATAATAAGTTTGCTGCACCATTATTAAGCTACATTCTGCTGGTGAGATGTGCTACATTAGTCTCAACTTTCTTGTCTGATGAAAGAAACAAGAATCATTGTTTTCGGTTGTTGATGTACAGCCCTTGGAATCACACAATGAAGCACCAACTGATGCTGCTCCACCTTTGCTGAATCAGTCTTCTGTGTCTGCTACAAAGACGACAGTCCCGTGCTACTATTACTACAATGGGTTTTGCAACAAAGGTGACAGATGCCCATTTCTGCACGAACCTGGTGGGGCACTTGGTTTGAATACTAAGATGGCTAATCCAGTTGATGCAGCAGTGCATCTTTTGGACAGTAAGACATCTGGAAGAGTTGAAACAGAGCTTAAACCTGCTGAGAAACATTTAATTCCATCAGAAATGACAACGACAAGTGGCAGTCGATTGCAGAATGAGCAGAAACATCAGGCTCAACACTATGCTACTATACCAGAACCAAGTACTATCTCCAAACAAACTTATATTCCTGAACGTGAAGAGACATTTGCTGTCAAAACAGTGACTTTGCAGCATGCAGAACGCTCAAATAAAAGTGAGTTTGAGCCTAGCTTGGAATCTGACCAAAGTTCGGAGGATCAAATTGATGAAAACATTGTGCGAGATGAGTGGTGTGAATCATCCCCTGGTTTTGATGTTCTTGTGGAAGGAGAGACTGAAGATTTGGTTTATGAGGATGACCCAGAGGATATGCGCTCCATTGATGGGAATGATGGAGGCAACGAGCACCTATTTATGCCTCATGGCTATGCTCATCAGGCTGAATATGATGAAAAGGAGTACTTTGGTAATGGCCATTATGAGCCTTCTGAATATATTAATGATGAGCTGAGAACTGATCTTCGAGAATTCCCCTCTAGACACACACAGGATAGAGGAACAAGACGCATTGTGGCACGCAAGAGAAACATATTGTGTGTGGAAACCCCAGTTGGTGGCTGCCATGATGTAGATCTTCGAGACTATTTGAGGAAACGAAGGATGGTTGATGGTTATCTGGAGACACGTGACTTGAGGCATGTAAGAGATGGCAGGCAAGAGAAGCTTCAAAGGCATGCTTCAAATCAACGAGTACATGGACGACTGGCATCTAAGGTGGAAAGACCTGGTGTTAGACTGCCTAGGAGAAGGAATTCTGCAGTTGATGCAGAACAGCGAGGCAGACCTAGGAACTCACAACATAATGGCTACAGGCAGTATAATGGGATGAGGTCACGGCAGTCTTTGTCTGAACGTAGGACACACTCAAAGAGAGAGAGGTATGCTCAAGAGTCCACCACAGTATATGAGCCCAAGAACCATGATGCTGTCAAAGCAGACAGAAATGAGGGTCATTTACACAAAAATGGATCTGCAGACTTTGAAGGTCCCAAACCTTTGAGCGAAATCCTCAAAGACAAGAAGAAGATGTCGTGAGCAGTAGCATCTGACCTTTTCTGTTTATGATAGGTGAGCTTACTGATTTGAAGGTTTTGCTTTGATGGCGTGGCTGCAAACTACAATATCTAGATTAATTTTTTTTTCTTTTTTTCTTGTTTGCTATATTCTAGTCTAAGTCTTAGCAAATTACTTGCACTTCCATTTTGGTTTTTTAAAATTTTTGGGGATCTTGGGGTGTTTGTGGTTGCCTGTATTTCTATTCGGCAGCATTTTTTTTTCGCCTCTTTATTCTATAGGTTAAGATTTCGGTATTCCTTTTATTCTACTTAGATACTTGACCAGCTTGGCGGTCTCATTGAATCATTTGTGGGGCTGAATGGTTTGCTTATAAGGTACAACCCTGTAAATAAGCTTATGATGAGTTTTTAGTAGCACATTAATGAAATAGAGAAAGTAATCGGTCATTGATTGTTCTAACAAGGTTATATTCTGTTATGCCTGATGTTTTACACTGTACTCTGTTTATATTAAGACGTTGCATTAATTGTGTATTATTCTGAGTTATAATCTCACAGAAGGCCATACATTGCGGTGGTTACTGGTAGGCCATGTTTGGGTTACATTAAGGTCAATTGGACAGGAAAATATGTTACTTTACTTTATATATTTGAAAGTACTGTACTACTGTATGGCTCTGATATGGTGGAAAGTTTTGGTATGTCTGCTGAGAAGTATACCAAAATTAGTGGATTCTTAAATGTCTTTATTGTTTTGTACTCGTATAGTTTTCCTTTGATTATTTGCAGGCTTCCTTGATTTAGTTTTTCCTCTTTCACTATCCAACCTGTTTCTTACTACAGAGTATTTTTCAGTGCTTACGGAGTTACGGGTGCTGAGGTACTTGGCCTCGCGCTTCCCCTAGTGATGGCCGTTGTAAAAAACTATCTTCCTTCTCACTGTTACTGCTCAACAAAGACGACAGTATGTGCTTCTAGCCCATGGACCAAACGTGTAAAAAACGCTATCAATCGAAACACAATCACTTTCTCAATCGCGTAAGATGATGAAATTTTAATGCCCAATTATCGATTCTAGATAGACCCTTTGCTTTGTGTAGTAAGGATCAATGTTTGGGGCCTAGGATTGTTGAATTCATCCAATACAGCCAATGTTTAAGAAACTACTTAAATATGGGATGTATTGCATTAATTAATTTATGCAACCAATATAATGCCTACCAATCTACCATACCTTATTATCCATTTTATGTTATCTTGTAAGATCTTGGGAAGATTTAATATGTTTGCCCATTTGATAAATTATTAGTACTTGTACACTATAGATTCATAGCCTATGTTATTATAACCATATATTTTGTAGCATATATTTAATTTTTAATTAGCCATAAAAATAAGCATTTAGGAAGAATAATTAAAGTGAATCAGGAAAGAGTATATTTTTTTACTAGTCAAACTGCCAACAACGAATCTGGTTAGGCCAAGGAACCAAGGGTTTGACCACCTGTCCCAAATATATAACTAACTGCTCATACATTTTTTTAATTTATATGTTTTGGCAGTCTTTAATCTGAAATCGATTTGGGTTAGTTCTGCCTAAAAGCTGAAGTTGCAGATCTGTACCACTATTGCCCTTTTGTTAAGGATTCCAAATTTGATTTAAAATGACTTAAAGTGGAAAAAAAAATAAAATTGATTTGATAGACATGACAAGTAGTAATAAACTCCCACACTCCTCCAGTTGTAAAGAGTTAAAACAATTATCATACGTTACAAAGAATAGTAACAATGTGACAACTATCATACGTTAATGTAAAATCTTTTTTGATATATAGAGTATCGTAAAAGAAAACGACACACTCCATAAGCAAAATTTGTTGCCTTAATGTTTTTAATTCTAGTGGGATTCTGTTTCTTCACGAGTAGCATGATACGAAGAATAATTGTAATAATCTCTTTTTTCTCCCTTACTTTCCTTTGTTAAGTTGTCCAAATTATAGTAATAGAAAGTGGGAGTAAGTATTTCATGTAATTGCCTCTAGTTGTCCAAATTATATTATTATAAATTATATTTTGGCCCTATAATATATCTCACTCCTTTGTCATTAAAATTTGACTTTCTCTCTCCTCCCTTTAAAAAAATCCATTTAAATACCAAAAAAAAAACCAATAAATAAAAAAACCATCCAAATTTTTTTCTTCTCCAATTCATATTTCAACTCCACCCCACCACCCCAATAAGAATTCTCTAGACACCCATCTCAATATTTTTTCTCAATCATCTAAAAATTTCATAGTTTTTAGAGAGAGAAAGTGAATTTTTTTTAGAGAGAGAAAAAAAAATGGAAGGATTACAAAGGTCAGCAATAAGCTTTAGAAGGCAGGGATCCTCTGGTTTAGTATGGGATGATAAATTGGTACAAGCAGAATTGGCTAAAGAGAAATCGGACGGTGGAGATGGAATATCGGTCGATCAGAAAGATGATGATCAGAAACCTGATTTTAGAAGAAGTAAATCAGACGGTGGAAATAGGCGAGCCTATCGTACTGTTAAGGTTGAGCAAGCAGAGGATCCTCCCTCTCCTAGACTTTCTGCTTGTGGATTTTGCAGTGTTTTTGGTAAGCCTGCTAAAAATAATAAGAATAATAAAATTGATAAGAAAAAATCTGGTAAACCGAAGCATAAATAAAATTAATTCAAACAAAAAAAGATTTAGGCTTTTTTTTTTTTTTTTAAAAAAGATTGTTATGAATTTGATGGGGTTTTTATGGTTTATCCTATATGATACTTGTATAAAAAAGCATATATTATAATTCAATGTATCATGTAGTTTTAGTTAGTGTTATGTTGTGTATTTATGTCCCATTTTAATCCAAGAAATGTTTGTGAGAAGTATGATATGAGGTTTTATAAAATTTTCTTTTGAATTTTAATTATATGGTAGAGGATGTAATTTTTGTTCAAATTATATCTTTGTGTATAATTTGTATATGATCATGATGTTGAGTGTTAATCATGATATTCTGGGTGTGGCCTACAATGTACAAATATTACTCAAAAATATTGTTGCACTCTTAGAATTTGCCTGTAATTATCACACTTTAATGTTTTTGTTGGTACTATTAATTTAACCTTTTGGCGTGTTTAATGAAATTTCCTTGGATATCAATTCGTTATAAAAAAGACAATATTTTAGACGGGATTGTGATACCAGTTCTTGAGGTCACTTAAGATTTTAACCAACTAATATGTTTGGTGTGCCTAAACAATCCCATGTGATTTTGGTACTTGATATTCTTCATAGGGACTAAAATTCTTTGATTCTTCAATTCACATGGAATCTATGATTAATTCTTTCCTTGTTCTATATCTTTGCTTCTTATTTAAATTTTTTTTTTAATGATTTTAAATTTGTTTCAATAAAAATGTATGTAGTGCAAATTGAGTTGTCATTAGACAGTGATTATAATGGCTAATGATTTCAAAATTGATGCACTCCTGTCATTCACATTGATTTTAAAACCTTAATTGAATAGTAGGATTGGTTTTTCTAAATTTGTCTTAACTGCCATTTTGCAGTGTTCTACTGTTCTTTTCTCCCTTTATAAGTCTTCATATGTTAGCTGGATTCTCAACCTCATTGAACCTCCTTTTCATATTTAATGTTCCCTCCATTACTAGATAGGTCGTAGCAATTCCTCTAACCCCCCCCCCCCCCCAAAAAAAAAAAAAAGGAAGATAGGTTAGGTTGTAGCTTTATTTTTAGACTGTTCCAAAATAATAGACCTACTTTGGTGATTTGATTTTTTATAGAGGGATTGTGATTGTGATTGTTACGGAATATGATATTTCCATCTATTTTATCTTAAAAAAGAAAATATCGACCATAAAAGGTACATGGAAGCACTCTAGATCGAGTAGCAAATGACTTACTTCCTCCGTTTTTATTTTATTGCACCATTACGACTTTTACACTATTCACTTAATGTTCTTTGACCATCATTTGTGATTTATTCATTAGAAAAAATAGTCATGAGAGATCTAGTTAGATTTGTCTCGAAATCTTCATCGAATTTTTATAATTTTTACAAAAGTACAATAGAAGATATTAACAACTAAAGTAATGCATTGATATGCGTGAAATCCCTCATGGTGCAATAAAAAAAGAACGGAGGAAGTACAACAATTCGGATGAAGGTTTAATAGGAATTGGTATCATAAGGTTGTCATAATTCATACTCCTTAGTTTTTACCATCATATTAGGGTTTATAACTTTCAAATTAGAGATTGTATTTAATGTTTGTGACTAGATCAATATTTTCATTTTTAATACAATAATACTCCTTAGTTCTTACCATTATATATATTAGGGTTTATTTCTAACATAGATCTAAAGGGTTTTGTTTTTTGTGTAAAGCATTATATCAATTTTCTAAAGTTTTTAATTTTCCAAACTAATGCAATATATAAATATGGGGAGAGTAAAGATAGCTCTCCTCCCAATTCTAAGAGATATTCTATAGATTCTCATCAGTTTCTCTTTTACCAATTATTTACTACTTCGTATTTTTTTTTCTTATTAATTGTATGATATCTCTGCTTTAAATTCCAACCTTTAGGGCTTTGTATGAACATTTAAGAACACGATACTCTCGGATTTATTTAATTTTTTCACAATAATGACCAAAAGAGATAATAGGGCTCAAGGTAAGGATGTGAACTTGAATCTAAAAAACTCAAACTAATACAATAAGGGTACGTCTTGAAAAGGATTTAGATGTATAGATAAACTCTTCTCAAGAAGATAGTAATCATATAACTTGAATTCGTGTCTCAAAAAAAAGTAGTGCCAACACCATTGTCCTCTAATTATTTGCATTCTTTTTCCTCCTCACACTGTTAAGGGCCTGTTCATATTTATTTATTTTCAGTTCAGTTCATTTCATTTCAGCTCCAATCAGTTCAGTTCAGTTCAGCTCCAATCAGTTCAGTTCAGCTCTTAATTTCCCTCTCTCATAAAATATTCATTTCAGCTTAGTTCAATTCAGTTCAACTCCAATCAGTTCAGTTCAGTTCAGCTCCAATCAGTTCAGCTCAGTTTCAGTAAATATGAACAGACCCTAAGAGTTGAATATTAATGCATTTATGAGCTAAGATTCTAAGCATTATCTTGATATAATGCTTTTATGCTCCGTATAAGATGTTGACATATTTATAAACCTAAGTAATCCTGGGCACCGTGCCGTGCCGGGCCGCGGGCTGGTTCGTGCCGTGCCGGTCGTGCCGGCGGGCCCAGGATTTCGTGCCGTGTCGTGCCGGCCATTTTCACAGGCCAGCCCACGGCACGGCACGGCCCTCGTGCCTGGCGGGCTCGTGCCGTCCCGGCCACGTGCCGGGCTGCGGGCTGGCCTGCGCGGGCTGGTGCAGTTTTCATTTTTTTTTTTTTTTTTTTTTTTTAATGACAACATTATTAATTAATAAGTTTATAATGTATATAAGTTATAAAATTATAATTATAAGTTTTATAAGGTAACTTATAAGTTTATAACTTATAAGTTATAAGTTATTAAGTTATGAATTTTATAATTATAAGTTGAATATTTATGTTTTATAATTTGTATATTCAATATTTATATTTATATATTTACTTTATACTATTACTTTAAAATTTAATGTTTATGATTTATTAGTAATTGGTATAATTTTATTTTTTTTTAATATGAATTTACAAATTGTAACAAAACGGGGAAAAAAGGCAAATTGGACTTTGGATGTGAATAATGCGTACTTTATATTATTATTACTTGAGTTGAGAAAATTGTACAATGATAACAATGATAAAAATCATACAATGATGGTATTAAACAAAAATTGGAAAATGATAAAATTGATATTTTTAAAATCATACAATATACAATAATTGTCTATTCTTCTTCTCCTTCTTCTTGCTCGTCTTCGTCTTCGTCTTCGTCTTCGTCTTCGTCTTCGCCTTCGCCTTCAAGGTCATCGGCTAGTTGCATAGATTGGGAACTAGCCGAACCCGAACCGGAAGCGGAGGTTCCTTCTTCGTTGTCGTTGTGGTCGTAAGAACGGTCTTGTGAGCGATTTTCCGCATCCAACCAATCTTTGAAACACACGCACATTTCTAGTGTTTCGGGTTTTAGACTTGTTCTTCTATCGTCTAAAACCCTTCCGGATGCGCTGAAAGCTCGTTCGGAGGCGACGGAGGAAACTTGGATAGCAAGAATGTCTCGTGCCATTGCCGCCAAAGTTGGATGCTTCGAGCTTTGTTGTTTCCACCAT